CAATCATTTTCCCATTAGAAAGAACGTGAATGGCCCCTGGCCAGGGTTTCTCAGTGGTTAGAGCGTTGGTCCCTGCACCAGAGTCATGGGTTTGATTCCTGGTCAAGGGCACGTCCCTGGGCTGCAGGCTTGTTCCTCAGCCCTGGTCAGGATGCCTGCGGGAGCCATCAATCGCTGTGTCTCTCACGCATGGATGTTTCTCTCTCTCTATCCTCTTCCCCTCCCTTGCACTCTCTCTAAAATACCAGCAGAAAAAATATCCTCGGGTGAGGATTAACAACAACAAAAATACTACATTGTAAACTGAATCGATTCATTCCAGACCCCCAACTGATTCCGTGTTAACATTTCTTATATGCAGTACATGTCTACTGTACGGTTTAATCTATAAACAAACACTTATTTTCTTAAATTTATCGAACGACCCCCACCAGCCTTAAAGGAGTCTCTGTTAGCACTCATTCCAGGGCGCCTTCAGGAAGTCAGGGTGCAGCTGCTTTGCTTTTCCACATATCACTGCCTCTGAAATACTGTCACCGGTAAGTGCTTTTCGTTTATCCAAATCAACACATTTTTGTTCCTCTTCAATTGTCTCTGATCAGTGTTTCTTTCACACCCTTAGCAGCATTAGCATGCTTTGATAGCTTCTTTATTTTTACTTTATCAGCACCCAATAGCTTCTTTAAAATTGTGTTCATTGTCCATTTCACCTGTAACAAAAGGGGAAAAAAACAAACCACAAAAATATTCACAGCACAGTTTCCTGAGATGTTAACAATGCAAGGTTTGGTGGTAAATGGACTCTTATTCTCGCCTTTGTTTGTGGCCTGAGAGATGCTTTTTGTCTTGCTGGTGGGTCAGCACGAAAGGGTTGTCCAGTTGAAAACTCAAGTTTTGTTTGACAACCAATAGACTTTTTTCTGTGAACAACTTGGTTGAGAACTAAATTGCTCCAGATGGGAGACATTTGAGAACTGAGGTTTGACTGTATTTGAGAATTAAAAACAAAACAAAACCATCATCAAGCCATTCAATGCTGAATTCCACACAAAGATAAGTCTCAGTCAAGGATGGTCACGCTCAAGGCTGAACTACATACAGTGTCAGCTTGCCTTGTAGGTGCAATAATTACTATACACTGAGTGGCCAGATTATTATGACCACCCCTTCAGTACAATGAAGTGAATTAGTTATGCAAATAATAATAATAATAATAATAATAAAACCTTGAGAATATTTGCTTAAGAAGTTTTCAATATTCAGTGTTTTTGGAAGTGTCAATGAAGTACTGATGGGGTGGTCATAATAGTCTGGCCGGTCAAATCTGGCCACGCGGTGTATAACCAGCTGGTGCCAAGTGTCAGCTGGGGTAAATAACTTTCCCTGATTTGGTTGGTGCCAGAACCCCGTCTGGGATGGTCTGGGTGGACTAAGTTCTGGAAATAATGATCAACAGTTGCTGGGGCCTCCTACAGGCATGTATTGTTCCAAACACACTCTGCGGGTCATTTTTTGCTCATGACGACCTCCTGTTGTAGGTTGGTACTATCACTCCCACTTTCCCGATGGGGAAACTGAGGCATAGAGAGCTGAGTAAATTGCCTCAGGCTGTATAATGAGCAAGTGGCAGATGTGGGATGTGCACCCAGGTAGTGTGGGTCCCTCCGCTGCCCAGGGAGCCTAGCCCTGAGAGCAGGGGCATCAGAATAGGAACAGTCCGGCTGGAGCCCTGGGTCACCGCAACGAAGGCAAAGCACAGGGCGTTCGGCAGAGACCCGCTTCCCGGAGGGACCCAGAAAACTCTCGGATCACGAATCTCCTGACTCAGCCATGCTTTCGCGCACTTCCTCTCTCTGCAGGGGACACCTTCCTGTCTATTGGTTGTCAAACAAAACTTGAGTTTTCAACTGGACAACCCTTTCGTGCCGACCCTCCCAGGTCGTTTCCTATGCTGTGGAGAGGGCTTCCTGATGTGCTCCAGGTACCCCACAGCTCCCCATACCCAGCTTCCTGGCTGACACCCTCCACCCCCCATCTTCATAGAGGCCGCCCTGTCCACTCTCGTTACCCACCTCTCCAGCGCAGGCCCCACTTGGCTGCCCACCGCTGGCCTTGCCCTTTCAATCTTGGCACTGCCTCCCTGGCTGTCTATCTGGCCAGAAAGGGTAGGGCCGAGTCCACTCCAACCCCCACCCGCACAGGCCCTGCTGCTGGAGGCTCCTAGTGAAACCGAGACAGGCAGCTGAACAAACTGGCAGCAATTGAGAGCAGATGCAGAAGGCAGGCCTCCTCCCCAGAAATGGCATATAGGCCTCAACTGTAGTCCAGCTCCAGACCCAGGAAAGCGGCAGAACCAGGTGGGCGGCACCAGGACCAGCTGCAATGACGGACCAATCGGTGGAGACCACAGGCCTGGAGGAGCACCCCTAGACACTGATGAATATTCTGCTGAAACGCTCCCCTGTCACCTCCCCTACGATTCCCGCCTGAGAAAGAGATAAAGCCTCAGACCAAGGACCCTGCTCCTGCTCTCCCTCTGGGAGCAGCCCCACCATTCCCTTTCCCTTCTTCTTCCCCCACTTCTTCTCCCCCCGCCCCCCGCAGGCATGCATCTCCCAAACCCTAAGGACCCCATCAGGCTCGCAACCAGGGGAGCAATGGGCAGCAGCAGCTTGTCCTGAACCTGATCCCCAGGCCCCGTTTCCTCTGACTTCCCACGAGCGAGGGCAGCCCAGCCTGGGCTCTCCTGTTGCTTCTTCGCTAAGCCCTGTGTCTCACTGTCCCCACTTTAGTAAGTGTCCCCCACAGTCACCTAGACTCGTATTGTGAAATGTTTCCTGCACGAAGCCAGGAACCCACATGCTACCGGCCGTCCTGGGCAGGCTCGCCAACTGCCAAGGTCCCCTTCCCAGTAACGAAAGGATGAAGCATCTTATCACAAAGAGCTGGATAGTTAAAAAAAATATATTTATATTGATTTCAGAGAGGAAGGGAGAGGGAGAGATAGATAGAAACATCAATGATGAGAGGGAATCACTGATTGGGTGCCTCCTGTATGCCCCCCACTGGGGACCAAGCCCACAACCCTGGCATGTGCCCCTGACCGGAATTGAACCTGGGACCTTTCAGTCCGCAGGCCGACACTTTATCCACCGAGCCAAACCAGCTAGGGCCAGAGCTGGGTTTTTACACTCAATCTGGCCGGGGAGGAAGTGTAAAAAGTGTGAAAATGCCTGGGTCTGACTCAGTGGGCCAGGGCTGAGCAGAGGGTCCTTGTGGGACTGAATGAAGCACCCAGTCCCACTGCCCTTCTCCCACGGCCCACACCACCCGCCTCACTGTCCTCACAGCCTGTCATGTCCCCTCCTGCTTCTTGCACAGCTCCGTGTCCGTCCTGCACACCAATCCCTGGGACCCCCTCGCTGTGGCCATGGCAGGCGTCAGCCGGCACCCTCCTCCAATGGAATGCACTGCAGGGTGGAGACGCGGCCCTGCTGAAGCTGGCACGCCCCGCGCCTGTCTCCTGCACCCGCAGGCTGCCCCTCTGGCCTGGCTCAGCTCCTGCTCCCCTGAGGGCAGCCTCTGCTGGGTGACTGGCTACAGGAACATCAGGCCGAATGGTGGGTGAGACGCTGGGGTCTAGGGCTAGAGGCAGCTGCCCAAGGAGGAGCAGAAGGCACTGCAGGGTGCATGAGGCACCCCAGCCTTTTCTCTGCCTCTGACCCATCCCCGCAGGCCTGGTCCAGGCCTCATCCTGCCCACCCAGGCCTGCTTTAAATAGGCATCTGCCTCGTTGCCCACACAGATGAGCTGCCCTGCCCAGGGGACAGAACCTGTCAGGCCCTGCTGCTCCTGACTGTTTCCCAGAGAACGGGCACGGCCACACCTGCTGCCTAGCGGCCTCTGAGAGCCACCTTCCCTTCTCCCACTCGCCGTCCACTCTGCCTGCAGTGGCCCTGCCTGAGCCACAAAGGCTGTCACAGGCTCTAGGACCCGGAGCCCATCACCAAGGAGACGCTGTGCGCTGGATACCTCCAGGGCCAAACGGGCTTCTGCAAGGTCAGTCTCCCCTGGCCTGCGCTCCAGCCCCCGATGCCCTGGGGGAGCTGGGAGAGTCACCAGACTGACTCCTCTGGGCCTCAGCTCCCCATTCAGTATGTGGGTGAGGAAGCAGAGCCCCCATTCACAGGGGATCTGTGGTGCGCCTCCTCCGTGCTTAGCAAAAGGCTCCCCAAGTCACCCCTCTAGTCCTAAGTGACCCCGTTAGGCAGGCTGGGTCCTGGGCTGGAAGCACCTTATGGTCCAGCTCCATGAGGCTGGGGACTCGGTCTCATCCCAGCAACACCATGTGCACAGTGTGTGGCTCAGGGCTGGCGCTCAGGCTCTGGCTGTCCCAGGGTGTGAGCAGGTCCACAGGGGCAGAGGGACAGGGTCCAGGCGCAGAAATGCGATGTGGGTTATAAGGGAGGCAGCAGGCCTCAGAGGAAGCACTCAGACTTGCAATAATAATAAAGTGATTGGATCTGAGCTCTGCTCTGTAAGAGGCTCCGCCCCATGCCTCCCTGGGTGGGGCCAAGTTCCGCAGCCACAGAGACAGGGAGCTGGGCGCTGCAGGAGGGCGCTGTGCACTGTCTCCAGCCCCGCCATGGGCGCAGGGAGTCCCCAGGACCCCAGACGCAGCCCGTTGATCCCACAGGCCAGGCTGCCAAAGGCGGGGGAGTTTGGACTCCGTGCATCTGGGGGTGCAGGCACACCTCTCCTGGGGATCCCGCTGCGGTGGTCCAAGGGTCCCGCTGGGGCTCCTTCATCTCTCCCCTTCTTTCCTCTCCTCCCGCCAGGCGCAGACTAGGAGTCGGAGGTGCCGGTCACTGGGCCGGCTCAGGGATGGGGGCTGGCCCTGCCCCGGAAGCGGCTGGGGCCTTCAGACCTTAGACGCAGGGCGGGAAGAATTCAAGAAAGAGTCCGAGTGAGAGGGAAGCGGGTTTTATTCAGGAGGAGACAGGCTAGGACGCGGCTCCTGGAGATGGTCAGGGGTTGGGCGTGGTTGGCTTCACGGGGCTGGCTCTGCGGGGAAAGAAGGAAGGTGCGCGTGTGAGTGCGCACAGGCCCAGCTCCAGGCTGCGACCAGTCCGCGCCTGGGATTTTCCATGTTCCCAGTCTTTGAACTTTGTGGTGCCAAATTCTGCCCCTGCCTTTGGGTTGGGAGGGTGATCTTGTGATCTTGTTCCTAATGCGGTCCGTTCCGGAAGCGTCCTGGCGTTCGTCACCCCACCTTCTACCAGTGGAGTCAGTTTCTCCTCCATCCTGGATTGAGCTGTTTTTATAGTCCTTGTTGTTGACCTAGAGACCACAGCAGGGGTTTCCTGCCATGTGCTCTTCCCCTTCGGTCGTGTGTGTGTGTGTGTGTGTGTGTGTGTGAGAACCTGGGGGCTTATGGGCCTGTGATGTCTGCTCCTACGTCCTCATTCCACTTGTAGGGAGTTTTCCGAACTATCCTCATTCCCTCCTGACACTTCCATTCCTGGATGCTTTCAGGGGTGCTGAGGGAGGAGGGGCCTGAGAAGGGGCCACGTACTAAACCTACAAGCTCAAGGGGAGGCCTGTGTGGCAGCCCCACAGATTCAGAGACCTAAAGTAACCACCTAGGGTGGTCTGAAATGAAATTTTTTTTTTTTTTGGTTAATTCTCACCTGAGGATATTTTTTCCATCATTTTTCTTAGAGAGAGTGGAAGGGAAATGGTGGGGAGGGAGAAACATCGATATGAGAAAGACACATCCATAGGATGCCTCCCACATGAGCCCCCAGTCGGGGCAGGGATCCTGCAACCCAGGAATCAAACCGGTGACTCCTTGGTCCATGGGCCGATGTGCTAACCACTGAGTGACCGGTGAGGGCTGAAATGAAAGCTTTTTAATTAAAAGCAGCCCGTGGTGGGTAGTCACTTTCTAATGTTATGGTCATAACTCGTTAATATTGGAATTGTATCCTAGAAGTGACAAATTTGACAAGGTTAAAAAGGCATGGGCCAAAATGAGAATGGTGGCAACTAAAGATCTGAGGCGAGGTAAGGACCAGCTGGTAGAGGAAAGGACCAACCTTACGGCGTCTCAGATTAAGTTGGCGGAGGGTTTCCCTGGGCGAAGGGGTGTAGCCATGTTGCCTGATCATAAATCTTTTTCATCCTCTTCAGCCTCTCCAGTGGTGTTACTGTGGGTGTAACAGGTTTCATCAATGACAGCACAGATCCCCCTCTGGTGGCCGCTGGCGGGTACTACCGCTACCTCCCTGCAGTGTTAGGGCCCTCAGGAGCCCTAAAATCTCCTCATGGGGTTTTATGGAGGAATTTTTAGCTGTTAAGAGCTCTCTTGTTTCCCTGGATCTAAGGGGATCCTAAGATCTCCTTCCTGAAGCAGGTCTCTCTGGCTTTTTTAGGCAGGAAGGGGAAAGGGTCAAAGGTTCCCTCTGAGTCTTTTATTTCCTAATAAACAGTCCCAATCAGTATCCCCAAAAAGCAGCTTCAGGGTGGCAGAATTTTGGTCCCTTCAGTCCCACCTTTGAGACTTTAAATAATAAAGTTTCACATTCTAGAAGCTAAATTAGTAGATTGCTACATGTTTCATTGACTCAATCATTCCGTTCGAATAAGTCATTTCAGTTAAATTGATGAATCTCATCTCAGGAAGTGGTGATGCAGCTGGGCTCCCCAAGTGAGGCCTGTATTGTGTAAGCAAGCAATCAGACATTAATAAGGGGTGTGTCTATGAAAACAGAAGGAAAAGGGGTTAATGATGAGAGCAGATAATAAACCAGTTTCTGAGTCTGGAAGGCTGCCAGTCGAGAAGATTTCTAGATGTACTAGTAAGGCTCCAAGTTTATTTGCTGGAATGAAGGCAGGCAGTGACCACCCGATAGCCTCTCCTGGTTGCAGTTTGAATGTCTCTAGTGATGTCCTCGGGTGCTCAAGACAATTCTGCACGGCTTACACAGCATCAGCCACTGAGGCTGTTTAAGTGTGAGCTGCAGTGGTGATTTCTCAGGTTTACGCCATGTCCTTTAGCTTAGTCTGCAATTGCAAGGCTCAAGTTTTAGTTCTCAGTAATTTCAAGTCAAAGGATGGGAGGAAAAAATAAAACAATTCTTGTTTATCCTGGTTATTTGCAAGTATTTTATGAATCCAGTTAAATTCCTTAGAGTTCTATAAGTCTTCATCCAGTTCAAAGGTATGATATGAAAATTTATTCTCAGAAACCTATATTTTAGAAAAAGCCTCTTAAAATTCAAATCCTTTCCAGGGATCTTCTGAAGATGTAACATATTTGCAAAAGCATCAGAGTAAAACCATGACAAAAAAAAACAAACAAACAAAACAACAACTTAAAATGTCATGGCTATAGATCTGATTATAATGCAACTAAAAAAGGAAATTACTTCTCAGTAACATTTTAAAATAACAATTAGACTTACAAATGACATTGTAGACCTTTGGAGATTTTTATATAATCTCTAAAACATCCACTTTAATAATAAAACCATGTATAAAGCTCTGGCCAAGTCGCTCAGTTGGCTAGAGCAGCGGTTGCCAACCAGTGGTCTGTGAGTTCTGAAAGGTTGGAGGCCACTGGGCTAGAGCATTGTCCCAATACACCAAGGTTGCGGGTTTGATCTCTGGTCAGGGCACATACAAGAAGCAACCAATGATGCATAAATAAGTGGAACAACAAATTGATGTCTGTTTCTCTCTCTCTCAAAAACAATAAATAAAATTTAAAAATATATGTATACAAATAGAGCATAGTTATTAGTTATGTATTTGACAAAGCTTCCCATGCACTTTAAGCATATCAAACAGACCTAATTAGTTTTAAATTTCTCTTTTATAAGGAGAGAGAACAAATCCTTGAGGTATTCCAGGGGCCCATAGGAGTCATCCAAAGCCATTTCTAGGTTAAGAAAAAGTCTCTTAAAATTTAAACCCTGGAAAGGTTATCAAACGTACTTGACCAAAAGATCATGTATCATTATGAAATATTATAAAATTATTTATTCACCCAAAGTGACAATAAAAGAGATCAAACATAAATACAGGCTAGCAAAACTTTAGTTCTTAGGATTGAAAGGATGAATTTCTTAAGTAATCAAGTAGCTGATTAACACAATATAACTCTTTTAATAAAACAGAATCTTTCTTTCTAGGCAGATACAGGAAAAACTTTTTCCCCTTAAAAGACTGAAAAAGAACTAAACCAATTCTGTATTAGCTTACCTTTTGTATTTAAACTAGAGGCCCACTGCACGAATTCATGCACCAGTGGGGTCCCTCAGCCTTGCCTGCGGGATCGGGCCTTAACCAGCTCTCCGACATCCCCCGAGAGGTCCCGGATTGTGAGAGGGAGCAGGCCAGGCCGAGGGACCCCACTGGTGCACGATCAGGGCCGGGGAGGGACACGGGAGATTGGCCAGCCGGGGAGGGACTGGGGGAGGGCTCCAGGGCATGTCCGGCTCCTCTTGCTCAGTCCCGATTGGCCGGACCCCAGCAGCAAGCTAACCTACTGGTTGGAGCATCTGCCCCCTGGTGGTCAGTGCACGTCATAGCAAGCAGTTGAGCAGCCTTAGCATATCATTAGCATACTATGCTTTGATTGCTTGAACAGACGACCGGACACTTATCATATTAAGCTTTTATTATATAGGATTCATTTACTTAATTAAATTTATTCCAATATTATTTAGCTTAACCATATACAATTTCCTTTCAAGATTTCTCTTCACAAACCTTCTACAACTTTCCTAGTCCCTTTTCGTTTGCCTTTTCTCAACTCATTCAGAAATAACCAACTTTAGAACAAGCCATTTTCTTCCTATTTCCTTAAAAGGTACCTTTCATTACCAAAACCATACATTTTCTTTCCAATTTAATGCGGATTCTTAACTCTTAGAAACCTTAATCTCTAGCGACAACTAAATAGTAAGTATTCTTTAGATTGGCAACTTTATGAATACATTTCATAACTTATAGAAAGAAACAGGTTCTTTTATTGGCAAATACATTCACATTTTCAAGAGACATACTTCAAACAAATTATAATATACTCATTAACATCCAAATCCATTTTTAGTTTCTGTGTAATAAGAAGCCCACAGTAGGTAAACATAGATCAATCAATGTTTTAGTATTCCATGTTATCTCAAAATGTCCAGATAGTCAGTAATTTTTGTCATTTAACTTAACTTAGCAAAACTCTAAAGTTTCAAGTTACCAAAGACTTTGGAAAACTGTGCTTAGTAATATGTAATTATTACTGAAAAGCTTTATATAAAAAAACTCTTTACTTTAGTTATAACTATTTATTAGTTCTTAGCAATTCTATGATATTTCAAAGTCAATTATTACCCAAGACATATTCTTGACAAATTTTGTAACAGAGATAAATAACATGAACTTAGTTTTGTAAACCCAGGAAAAGCAAACATATATTTCATGTTAATAACTCTAAAAGAATCAGACTTAAGCCAGCTTTAACATAAAATATTTTCCCAGATCATATGATCATGAAAAACATTTGGGATCGTTTCTATTTCTTAATTTATAAAAGCATTTAATTCATTTAAGCCAATAAAATATTACAACCTAGTAATTGCAATCCAGAGGCAGAAAACACATCAGACACAATATATGAACACAGACATCACAAATTAACACATAAAGAGAATCAAACCCTAATAAGTAGAGAAGACACAGATTTTTCGTTTGCCCTTGACAACTTTTAGGGCGGCTGAAGAAGAGGGAGGGAAGATCTCAGGAGGGGCAACTTTAGCTGCTTGTGCTTTTTATTTTACTTCTTTAAAACAATTGCCTTTTTCTTTTTTAAAAATATATTTCTATTTATTTTAGAGAGGAAGGAAAAGAGAGAGAGAGAGAGAGAGAGAGAGAGCGAAACATCAATGAAAGAGAATCAGTGATCAGCTGCTTCCTGCAGTGGGGATGGAGCCCACAACCCGGGCATGTGCCTGACTGGGAATCGAACAATGGCCTCCTGGTTTCTAGGTGGACACTCAACCACTGAGCCACGCTGGCTGGACTGCTCATGGTTTTTTGTTTGTTTGTTTGTTTTTTCAATATATTTTTATTGATTTCAGAGGAAGAGAGAGGAGAGAGCAATAGAAACATCAATGATGAGAGAAAAT